GAAGGTAGGGGTGTTGGCAGGAATCAAATTTTAAAAAATCAAATCAAAAAAGGAATGACTGTGCTGCCATCCATGAGAACATAAATGGATTTGGTTTGTCCCAAAAAGGGCTTCCCAAGTTGCACTAGTTGTAAAGAACCAGCCTGCCAATGCACAAGATGTAAGAGATGTGGGTTCTCTCCCTGGGTTGGGAAGATTCCCTAGAAGAGGGAATGGCAACCCACTCCAGTATTCTTGCCTAGAGAATCTCATGGACGGGGGAGCTTGATGGGCTACAGTCCATAGCATCACAAAGAGTGGGACCCGACTGAATCGACTTAGCCTGCATGCACACAAGGAAGGAGACAGATATCATGTGGGGTGGAAGGTGAGTGGATTCTTCTGTAGGGTATCAAAGGAGTGTTTTATGAATGGGGGCTCCATGTCTGCTTGCTGTAAAGGCTCCCATTTCCTCCCACATCACCAAAACACATACAGGCACCCACGCCCATGCTGACTCATTTGAATTTTGGTGTGCGTGGAAGTAGGGGTGAGAACTGTACATTTCAGCTGAGGCAGTGCAGAGATGAGACACCACTGTCGCTTAAAATGAGGAAGCAGAAGTCTGGAGTCAGCAGTAACTGCCCAAGATATAAACCCCTTAGAAATCACAGAGTTCCAAAGGCCCAGTTAGCAGACTTCTCCAGATCTCAAGGAGCAGGGGGCGTCCTCAGCTGACACACCAGCTACAGCAGGCAAGAATCTCTTCTAGTGGCTGGCTGTAAGGGGGATGTCCTATGGACCTGTGAGTGGAAGGAAACATTTGACTTTGTGGCTGGTTGCAAACAACATGTTTATTGATCAGGATCCCCCCTCAGGTGTGCCTGACAGGAGACACTTAGGGCCTTTGTGTCCTCGGAACTCCATGCAGGGCCACTAAGGCCTCTGGAAATCCAAGACATTCTTCAGTGAGGGAACATGAATCAAACTGGGGCCAAGGAAGCCTTCAGTCAGCTTGGCAGGGGCATTCTCTCACATCCCACCACTGATGCAGTAATATGGGGCTATATGCTCTTGGCTGGTCCACAGAAAGCACAGGTGATAAGCCAGCATGCACCTGGAAATCTCATTACACCTCTGCAGCTCTTACCTGAAAGTCACATCCAGGAGCTGAATCCTTCACACCATGTTGATCCAGAGAAGAGGTTTAGCAGAAGGGGGATGGGTACAGGTTGGCTCCAGGATGGCAGCAAATATTGAGTGCCATGGAAGAACAGACACACCCCTGGCAGTATGCCAAACCAGTGGGGAACCAGACTGCCTGTGTCCCAGCCTTGCTGCTGACCAGCTAAGTGAACATGGTCTCCGGGATTCAGATTTCCATCTATAGAATGGGGACTGAACTGGTTCCAAAGCCCTGCTCTTCCTGTGGCCTCAAATCTGGCTCGGTGGGTGACCTTCTTAGTTTTACCTCTGAGCCCCAGTGAACATGAAACAGCAGAGCAAGTCTTCCCAACAAGGTTGGGATGCCTGCACACGGCTTGGGACACTGCCACAGGTCAGTGTGGGAGCTGCACCTGGAGAAGGAAGTGGGAAAGGCTTTAAGGGACAAGGTTTTCAAACTCAGCTGTGTGTTTCAGAAGGGCAGGCTGCAGTCTAGCCACAGACTTGGAAAGAAAACGTAGTACAGTTTTAAAAGGATTAAGACAACATATTCCTGAACTGGCGGTCTTCTAGGTGACAACATTTCAAGCCACAGTCTGAGCTGGAGTTTCAGAAGCAGCCATAATCAGCCCCAGGTTTTCTACTAATATTAGGCTACAGCAGCAGGTCTAGGAATGCTAACTCCAGGGAGAGTGATAAGAGGGCTGCTGTCAGGGCTCTTTACAAAACATCAGCATAAAATAACAGCAGATAGAAGCCTGCTCACCTTCAGGTGCATAGGAAGTATTAGGCCATTTTGCTGACTTTGGATTCACCCTCTGACATGGCTCTGCACATGGCTTTCTTTCTTGGTCATTCATTTCCAGGAGGGTCAGCTCTTACTTGAGTCATTGAAGCTAGCTGGTTCAATCTTCCTCTGATTTACATTAAGAGTATTCTCAAGACCAGCCTTCATCAGGACTTAAAAAAGGGATGTGTCTTCTACTACTTCCGCCAAGGCAGATGGAAATCCATGCATCTCATTTTCTTTATACAGAATAGTTTCTAATCTAATCAGTAGGTTAGATCCCTAACTCTAATCAATGCATATTCATGATTCTTTCATTCAAACAACTCACCAAAGAGCCATTTCTTCCTTTTCCCACTAGAGTTCCAGATGATCCCAACTCATCACTTCCACCAAAATATCACAAAACTATTCCAGACCTTTCTCCTTCTCTTCCTTCCTCATCCCTTCCCCTTCTTCCTCATCCCTTCCCCAGTGGTCATGGAATCCCCTTTGAGTTGGGAGCACTGAGTCTGCAATTGTGACTAATGACTTATGATCCACTTACACTGTTGATCAGACGCCCAAGACCTATAGTCCCGAATCCACCTTTGAGGAGGGATACCCATACCCCTCAGCAATCAGACAAACAGCAGGAAGACATTTTTCCCAAGTGCAGAATCATATATATTCTGAGTGACTGAGCTATTGGCATTCAAGTTTTGACCAGTTTCAAGATGCTACTACCAGATAATGGGAAGACTGTATACAGACACCGCAATTTATGTTACAGAAGGAAGACTGTTAGTTGATATACCAGTCAAGAGTTTCAGGTTATATACAATACATCCAGAAGGCTGAATACATTACTCCTTTCAGGTCATAAGACCTCTGAGAAGCTGCATCCATCTTCAGGCCTCCCACCACTGTTTGGTGTGCTAATGCCAAGAATTTATGGTCTCTTTCTTTAACTCCTCCCAGAGGAGGGGTGATAGGAAACTGTTAAAAACCAGATGCTGTAGGCATTTCTCTACCACCTCCCACATAATGCAGTCTCATTAATTAAATCACTTCAACCTCAAAGCACACCGCCTTCAAGAGGTAAATAAAATAGGCATATCCGCTATCAGAAGAATGGAAAACTCGAGGTCAGAGTCAACTTGTTTGTATAGGGTTATCAGCTGTTGAAGGGGAGAGTCAGAACGAGGAGCTGGCCCTGTGCCCCATGTTCCCTCCAGCAGGCCCTGTGGGCAGCTGTGACGAGGGCGGCCCAGCCATCTGGCTGAGGCTTACAGGGCCCACAGCCAAAGTGGGAAATCCTGGAGCAAGGCTACGACCCAGCTGTGCCCCAGCTTCCTCTGTTTCTAGACAGGGCTGGGTTCCGAGCAATGATGCCAATGACTACAGATGTCACTGGCAGCTGGAAAACAGGCCCTTTTGACAACTCTGGAAACATCCTCTAGCTGCTCTGCTCAGGATGGGGCCCACTATCACCCGCTTAGGTAAAATGGAGAGACTGAGCTTACACTAAACTGTGGGAAGGAGTGGATGCAGTTTCCAGAAGGTCATCACTTGGTTCAAAGGTTTACATAGAAAACATCTGGCCAGTTCCAACGAGAACAGACCTAGAACCATTCTTCTAAACCCACCCTGAGTGGTAAAGATAAGGTACATGTCTTAACCTATATAAAGGTGAAGGATTATCATTTTTCAACTCTACAGACACACGACTGGGGTTACAGCTCAGTGGCATGCACCTTATGTTGACTGTATTTAAACTACTACTGTGGAGTGCGACATCTCCATTACATGGTGCCAGTTTTCAGTTGTACAACTGTTATTTAGTGAGATCTGATTTTAGCCACAGTATTTTCAAAGCCAGTTTCCATTTAAATGTGTTGTGAAAGAAAATGGACTAGTTGACTTTACACACATTTTACATTACATAAGAAGTTCAGGAATTCATACACCCAAATGGGTTTGCTGCCTTCAAACTAGTCACCTTGGGAAGATGTGTGTTTAGTCGAGGGAAGCTGGCCTTACTCAGAACATTTCTAGAACCCTCCTTGGAGCTATCCACCTGTAAGCTTCCTTAATGGTCTTTGTCCTTTAAGGGTAGATTTCTTTTTTGAGGAATGATTTTTTAACAGCCAAAGAGCATTAGAAGATAAGTCTGACTAAGTAAAATGACTGATGGAGTTTGGGATGACCTCTGGGGAGGAGTGGTGTAAAAAATGAGGTCTGACTACAAGGTGGTGAGGCCTCTTTTCTTGCATGGCTTCAAAGATAATTCCAAAGAGGAAGTCTATGTGGTCTTGGCACATGGAACATTGCAGCTCAAGAGTAAGGTCTCCCAAGGAAGTAAGTACGATCAGGGTGACTCTTGAGTGCCTATGTTCTAGTTTATTTGGTTAAAAAGGTAGCCGTGTTCATTTCTGTCATACTTCATACAAGCAGAAATGGAAAACTCCATCTCTGTGATTTCTCCCAAGGGAAGGGTCATCATCTACTGCTAGAAGAGTTAAAATGGAAAGCACTTGGTGTCAACATTATCCACTTCCCTTCACCATCCCCCCATAAGATGTGCAATGAGTTATCCTTGATACCTGAGTCTCCCCAGTGTAGAAAAGTGAGTAAAGACAGGTCTCTGAACCTGGGTAAGACTAGTATGTCGATGGGACTGCAGTGTGTTTCCAATGGCTCTATCTACCCAACAGGCCCACAACACCAACTCGTATAAGAAAATCTCCTATAGCTAAGTACACAAAGTTTCAGCAGAGGAAGTGGGGGAATGATTAGTTTTCAGTAGCTCTCTAGGATTAAAAACCCACTGGCTTCTGATGTCACGTGAACAGGAGTCCACTGAAAAGAAGTCCATGGTGTTCTAGTGCACGCTTAAGGAAGGTAGTGTGTGGCCACTAGCTCACTGAAATGCATTTCCAGCTGAGGCCAAAGGCAGCAAAGGTGCAAGAGGCTGCTGGGGCTGGCGTTAGTTGAAGCAGGGTCTATATACTTGGCAAAGCAGTTTGTAGAAAGCCCCAGTTACAGAGCAGGATGTCTGCCAACCACTGAAGTCAGAGGACACTCAATTTCACTTTCTACAAAGTGCTTCATTGAAGATGCTAATGAGGAAGCTCCCTTTGAAACACCATATCCTGAGTGTCAGAGAAATATGGTCAAGACGGTGATTGATGGCTAGCAGAGACTGATTCTTTAACAGCAATGGGACTGTGTATTCTCTGAGCATCTCTCTCACACACACACAGGCACACACACACACTCTTAATGAAGAGCACACAACTGCAGTCACATTCCACTTCTTCTGCACATGTCTCTGTCGGGCGGTTGCTCTTTTGTACAGTATCTCCAGGAGCAGTTCCAGCTTAATGGGTTCCACAGCTAAAAGCCAAAGCAGCACAGAGTCAGTGCCCCAAGTCAGCCGTAACATCCAAGTGCTCGCGGCAGATATTGGTCTCAAATCAATCAGTCGGGATGTTGTTCTCGGTGAGGGTTTTTATATTAGTGTTTCTAAAAACCACAAAGCTAGGCCATTTGCTTAAATCATCGTTAGAAAGAATGCTGAGTGCCCAGATGGGATTTCTAGTTTCTGTGCAAATGAAATCACACTAGTCCAGATTTTATTCGCTCAAAACTACTAGGGAAGCAGTAGGATTTGGTTTCAGTGCTGCCAAAGAGCAGGAATTCACTTAAGTTTTAATTCTGAAGCAATCCTGGTGTTAATGTTGTAGCTGGGGTCAGGCAGTATGGGGGCCGGGGCCCCCGCTGTGCTGGCTGGGGAAGCCCGGATCTCCCCCAGTTCAGGCTCACTCTCGCTGGAGGTAGACCCGCTGTTGATGGCATAGACGCTCTCCGCGACTCCCTGAGCTGAAGCACAGCCATCTGGCTCTTTCTTCTCCCTGGGGCTAGACGAGCCCGGGAGGACGGCCATCTTCCCGGTCTGCCTGTTGGGCAGCAAGGACATGGTGTAGTCTGCAATGATCCCGCCCACGTCTAAGTTGCACGCCTGGTCGAAGGCTAGGAAGCCCACGTTGGCATTTGCCTCACACACCACGAAGGAGCCATCGTCCATGATGAGAAGATCGATGCCGCAGAAGTCCATACCCAGGATGTTGGACACCTGGATAGCCAGCTGCTTGCCTTGCTCCGTCAGCGGGCACATGACGCCCACACCACCTGTGGGGCAACCGCAGTGATGTGACGGTGACAGTGCAGCTGAGCAGGACCCCATGGGGCTTCCCAGAACAGACCCCCGCCCATGTGCTCCGCCTGCCTTTTGAATGTAGAAAACTTTCCTCAAAGAATAAATTTAATCAGAGAAGTGGGAACATGCAGAAAGAAAGGAAAACAGTCCAGCGAGACAAAATAATTCTTGAGCCATTAAACAAAGCAAGGACCTTTAGCTCTCCCTCAAGGACTGTAGATAATATTCTGAGCCATGTCCTTTGAGCTGTTTGCAAATACTGAAACCCTCACCAGGTCAAAGAAGTTAACTGTAAGCTGTCCACAAGCATGTAGACCCCAGACCAGTAGGAACCAGAAGGCTGATGATGCTGAGTCCCCATTATCTCATCACTGACCAATAAGAAGAATGTCCATGAGCTGATCATACCCAGCTCCTTGAACACTATGAGACTCCTCACTACCCCCTCCAGGGTGGGACACAGTCTGTGAGCATTAGCCCTCTGTGGCCCCCTTTGCCAGGCAAAGCAATAAAGCTATTTCTTTCTGTTTTGTGCTATGCTTAGTTGTTCAGTTGAGTCTGACTCTTTCCGACCCTATGGACTGTAGCCCACCAGGCTCCCCTGTCCATAGCATGCTCCAGACAAGAATACTGGAGTGGGTTGCCATGCCTTCCTCCAGGGGATCTTCCCAACCTAGGATTGAACCCAGGTCTCTCACATTGCAGGTGGATTCTTTACCGTCTGACCCACCAAGGAAAGTCCAAGAATACTGGAGTGGGTAGCCCATCCCTTTTCCAGGGGAACTTTCTGACCCAGGAATCAAACCAGGATCTCCTGCATTGCAGGCAGATCTTTACCAACTGAGTTACCTATAGAATTGCTTTCTACTTCTCCCAAAACTCTGTCTCTGAGATTTAATCCAGCCCCAGTGTACAGAGGCCAAATTTTGGCAACAATGCCAGACACCAACTGATGAGTCAAATGACCTTTCAAAGGAAGAGGGGTATGCTGGTGAGAGGTAGTGAAATTGGCATTTTTATTACTCACAAAAGGTCTGCGTGGAAATCAGGACACTCTTTGAGAAAGTAATATGAAAATAATACTCTTCTCTAGAGTTTAAAAAAATGTTTATATTCTCTGACCCAGTCAATCCACCACGAAGGAAAAATCTTATATAATAGGGAAAAAAGCTTTATGCACAAATATGCTGATGGCAGTTATTCAAAATACTGGAAAATCAAAATGCTGGTACATAGTAGTCATTTGATATTTGTTAATGAGTAAATAAAATACTATCATCTAAGTAGCTCACAATAGAAGAAAGGAGCATAGTTTACAGCCATTACTAAAAATGATGGTGAGTTTGAGATCACATGGGAAAATATTAACACTTAAAAGGTATAAAGGCTGTGCAGTATGACCATAATTATGCCAAAAAAAAAAACCACACCAAACCATTGTCAGAAACACCACCACCAAAATGTTAACATTGGTTGTCTCTAGATGTTGGGATTAATGATAAATATCTTTTTTTCATTTGACTGTGCCATATTTCCTAACTTTTCTACATTGAAGATGCATTAGAAGAAACAAAATTAACTTATTATTTTCTGAGAGAGGCTTGTGATACAAAAATCCCATACCAAGAGGGAGTCTGCTTAGTTGTACTTGTTAAAAAGCTAAGACCTCTGATTTAATTGTCTCCCTTTAGTCTTCCTGCAAAGATAACACTTGGGACTTCCTTGGTGGTCCAGTAGGATAAGAATTCGCCTGCCAATTCAGGGGACACAGGTTAGATCCCTGGTCCAGGAAGATCTCACATGCCTCAGGGCAACTAAACCCTGTGCCCACAACTACTGACGCCCGTTCTCCAGAGCCTGTACTCTGCAACAGGAGAAGCCACTGCAGCAAGAAGCCTGTGTACTGAGAGGAAAAGTAGCCCCCACTCACCACAACCAAAGCCCCTGCAAAGCAACAAAGACCCAGCAAAGCCAAAACAAATAAATCAAGTGGCTAAAAAAAAATGACAACTTAAAAACACAACACTTGTATTCTCATAAACTGATGACTTATACCTTATCTCTGCCTCTCCATCACTTATTACATTGTATGAGGAAAAGGTTATTAAGCAGCTTTAAAACAGTTCATAAAAAAAAAAAGCGATATGAATAAATTACAAAGTTGTAGTATTTTCCAGTTAAAGAATGAATTTTGTGAAGCAACTGAAAAAGACAAACTGATAATACATAAGGTTTGATACTGTGGCAAGACATAGGAGTGTCATGAAAATTAAATGAGATAATATACTAGATACAGTGTCAACCTTAGCCTAGCATTTGCTTCTATCACAGCACTTTAGTCACTGTATCTTACAATGATCTGTTTATACGTCTTCTTTACTGGACTGTAAGCTTCCTGAGGGTGAGGACTTCCATTAATCCTTACATTATCCGCATCTACCCTGGAGCCCACTCTGGGAGACTGCTCAACCACACTCCAGTTGAAGGACTGGATTTCGGCCTCCTCATTAGTCACCAGATTTGATACACTCATCTGGCAATTTAGGAAATAACAACTGGGTATTTTTTCACATTGCCAACAAATTCCACTCATGACAGTAGTTGACAGTAGCTTTCTGTAATGAACATAAGAATTTCCATGCCCTCGGGACCATCTCCATTCACCACAACAGAAAACAAGCCTTATCAACAGGTTAATGGGATGGGGTTATGCATTTGACCCAAACAAACTGCAGCTTTCTAATAACATCAAATATAGAAGAAAATCACAGTTAAAGAAAAAAAAAAGATATACAATTTCAATTATCAATGCAAGGTAAAAGCATATGCTCTGTCTCCTGCCATTACCTTGGTTTACTTCTCACTCTCTTTCATTTTTTTTGTTTTTGGCCATAACACATTGCTCCCAGGAGTTCCCAGACCAGGGATTGAACTCATGCCCTCAGCAGTGAAAATGCAGAGTCTGAACCACTGGAACCCCAAGGAATACCCCACTGCCTTAGTTTTAGACTCTCCTTACTTCGACCTGAGCTGTTGCCAGTTTCCAAAATCAGCTCCCCTGCCTCCCTCCTATGCCTTCAATCCATCCTCCTTCCAGACATCAGTTTTTCTCAATCACCAGATCTCCTGTTGCTCCCTTGTTTAAAGGGAGCTCACAGTGCAGTGTCCTGACGTTCCCTGGTTTGACCTCCGTCACGGCCCTTATACCCACCTGTCCCCCACCTGGACTGCTTACTGCTAAGGGAAAGGGCTTGCTTCTAATTCCTCTCTGTGACCCTGGCACCTCGCAGAGGGTCTGATAGGACAGGAGGGATCAAGACACCCTGACTGGGTGCAAACATCCTGAGATGGTGAAGGACAGGGAAGCCTGGCGCGCTGCAGTCCATGGGGTCACAAACAGGTGGACACGACTGAGCAACTGAACCACAAAACATCCTGATGAAAAACCCCGGTGGCTCCCCCCGCCCAACAGCCCCACTCAGCTTCGGTGCCTCACCGAGAGAGCAGTTGCTCTGCATCCGTCCATCTGTGGAGCAGCGAAGCATGGAGCCTATCACCTGGCCGCCGACCACCACCACCCGGATGTCCTTTCCGTGGGACTCCTTCACGTACTTCTGGAACAGGTAGGGCACGTCGTGGCGGATCAGGTGGCAGATGTCTGAGAGGTGGTGTTTATCTCTTGCGAGAAAAACGCCTTTTCCTTTAAGAAGAAAGACAAAGAGCAAAAAAAGGAGTTAGACACGCCTCTGAGCAGGGTCCTTGCCATCCCACCTCCCGGTCCAGAGTCAACCATTCTTTCCCAACCTGCCTCACTCTGGCCCCTTCAGCTTCTCTGAGTTGACTCTTGTGTCTTCTCAAATGGCCATCAAATTTTATTTTCTCTGGGTTTTACTCATCTCCCTCTCTGTTCACAATGGTTTTTTTGCCCCCCAAAATGAAATAAAAATGTATTCCAGAAACACACAGAAGAGGCCAAAATAAAATCTTAAGAATCTAATTAATTTGGGTCCAAAACTAGAGGATGCTGATATGATAGTCCATGTCTCATTCACTTTTGTTTAAATCCCTAGAACTTACACCATGTCAATCAATGTTTATGGAACATAATTAACTGAACATACTTTAGAGAAATTCCCAGTTGAGATGGAGACAGACCACAAAAGATAATGACACAGCCTGATATGGCATTAGGAGAGGTCAGTGCTGAATACTATGGGAGTTCAAAAAGTAGCCACTGCCAGATGTCCTGAACTTTCAAACATAAGAAATGTATTATTTGCCTTATCCATTTAATTTTAAAGGGAATGACCCATACTTCTATTGATATCTGGGGAAAGCATTCGTACTTGATTCCAAATTTTCTATTTTCTGCCTGAATCACTTACATTTTTTAATTACTTGACATCTGCTTTTCCACTTGCACATTAGCTAACAGATCTGAGCGGGGGGGGCGGGGGGGAGGCTGATGGGTTTCCTCTACAAATCCGACATGAACATACTGTACCCTGAACCTTGTTAGCAAATATGGAACAAAGAGATGGTCTTCCTAAGATCTGTTACTACCTTAAAAAGAGTGGGACATTTCTGAAGTCTCAAAAAAAAAAAGAGGGATGGGTATCAGTCCCCAGTGGCGAATAACATAAAAAAGTAACTTCCAAAACATGGCTTGGTCATTGGACATTTGGCACCAGGAGATCTGGCGTCTGGCAGCAGGTGGCAGGGATTCAATGATAGGCAATGGGAGGATTTTCAGTAGAAATGGGAGCTAAAAACAGGTTCCTTGGTTCCTGGCACAGAGGTTCCAATATGGGGCTTAGTCTGCAGTTAATTAAGGAGCTACAGTTTTAAAGCAAGGAGGGAAAAAACTAGGGTGGGGTGGGGAGAAGAGTGCTAAGATTATTTAATCATCTACTGTGTGCCAAATACTTTATATTTTTAAATTATATCTTTCATATTTCATGCTAGCTCTGTGAAGGCATTAGGACAAGTATAGCTATTTTTGTTTGACAGAAAAGAAAAATTAGGGCCCACAAGATTAGTAACTTTCTCAAGGGCACATCTTGCATGATGAGTCCACTGCCTTCTTGAGATTTATTTCCATATACCAGAGTCTAACAACTGCAACAACTTTGTTTACTCCCTATCCACTGCTCCTCAGATGCTGTGTGTTACAACCAATCTGAAAATGAAATTAAGAACACCATTCCACTTACAATAGCATAAAAAGGAATACATGTAGCCAAACAGGTTTAAGACTTATTTACAGAAAACTACAAAACATTTTTGAAAGAAATTAAAGACTGAAATAAGTGGAAAGACACTCCATGTTCAAAAAATGGAAGACAATATTGTTAAGATGGAAATACTCCTCAAATTGACCTACAGATTCAATGTAATCCCCACCAAAACTCCAACTTCCTTTTACTGCAGAAATTGATATGCTGATCTTAAAATTTATATGTAAATTTATGGGACTCCAAATAGCCAACACAATCTTGAAAAAGAAGGACAAAGGTGAAGGACTTGAACTTCCCAATTTCAAAACTTTCTACTGGTGGCTCAGATGGTAAAAGAATCGGACTGCAATGCGGGAGATCTGGGTTTGATCCCTGGGTCGGGAAGATCCCCTGGAGAAGGGAATGGCAACCCAATCCAGCATACTTGCCTGGAGAATCCCATGGATAGAGCAGCCTGGTGGGCTCCATACCGTCCATGAGATCGCAAAAAGTCAGACATGACTGCATGACTAACATACATATGCACACACAACAGTGTGGCATAAGGGTAGACATATAGATCAATGAAACAGAACTGAGAACCCAGAATAAACCATCATTCAGATGGTCAATTTTGGATTTTTGACAAGAGTTCCAAGAGCATTCAGTGGAGAATCAACAGTCTCTTCAATAATAATACCGGGAAAACTGGATATCCACAGGCAAATGAATGAAATTTGACTCTATCACCCCATATACAAAAATTAATTCAAAATGGATCAAGCACTCCAAATCTAAGGGCTAAAAGTGTAAAACTCTTAGAAAGAAAAAAGGTGTAAATCTGTATGACCTTGGATTAGGCAAGCACAAAATGACATCAAAACCACAAGTAATCAAAAGAAAAAATTGAACTTCATCAAAATCAAAACCCTCTGTACATCGAAGGATGCTATCAAAAAAAGTGAAAAGACGACCTACAGTGTAGGAAGAAATCATGCTCAAATTATGTATCTGATAAGAGTGTAGTAACCACAATATAGAAAGAACTCTAAAAAATTTAATAAAAAGATCAGTAAACCAACTGAAAATGGGCAAAGAATTTGAAGTCATCTTTCCAAAGAAGATACCAAAATGGACAATAACATGAAAAGATGTTCAACATTAGTCATTAGGGAAATACAAATCAAAATCATAGTAAGATACCACAAACACCCACTAAGATGGCTATAATAAAAACAAATTACACATTTAAAAGTTGCTAAGAGAGTGAATCTTAGAAGTTTTTATAACAAGGAAAAAAATTCTGCACCTATGACAGATACTAACTTACTGTGATCATTTCACAATATATACAAATATTGAATCACTATGATGTACACCTGAAACTAATATAATGTTACACGTCAATTATACCTCAATTAAAAAAGATTTTAAAAATAAATCTGTAAAATAGACCTATACATTACTAATGCTTGGCAAACATGCATTTTTGTTCTTTTTAGTTTGTGACTTGTTTTTATGGTGGAGCTATGGTGACCATTTACATCACTTGCCTAGGCCAATTAATATACCTAATATAAAAGTTTTATTTAGTATGTGGTGAAAATAGAACACTCATACATTGCTGGTAGGGACATAAAATGGCATAACTGTTGTGGAACATCATTGTAGGGAAACATTGGTGGTTTCCCTAATGTTAAACACAAGAGTTACCATGTGACCCTGCAATTCCATTCTTAGGTATATATATACCCAAGCGAAATGAAAACATATGTTCACACATATGTGCACGAATGTTCACATCAGCATTATTCGTAAGAGCCACAAAGTAAAACAACCCAAATGCCCATCAATGGATAACAGATAAACAAAATGTGGCATATCCATATAAAGTACTACTGAGTCATAAAAAGGGATAAAAAACTGATCCATTCTACAAAATGGATGATCCTTACAAACATTACACTAAAAGAACCAGACACAAAAGGCCACATATCGTATGGTTCCATTGACAGGAAACATCCAAAAGAGGCAAATCCATAGAGACAGAAAGTAGATTAGGTGTTGCCAGGCACCAGGGGAGGCACTGCTGGGACTGACCTTTGACAAGCACAGGGTTTCTTCTGGAGGTGATGGAAATATTGTGCAATTAGATAGTGGGGGCTACCGTGGTGGCTCAGACAGTGAAGAATCTGTCTGCAATGCAGGGGACCTGGGTTCGATCCCCTGGTCAGGAAGATCCCCTGGAGAAGGAACTGGCTACCCACTCTACTATTCTTGTCTGGAGAATTCCATGGACAGAGGAGGAGCCTGGCAGTCTATAGTCCATGGGGTTGCAAAGAATTGGGCATGACTACTGAGTGACTAACATTTACTTACACAATGGTTGTACTGAAGTGTAAAAATACTAAAATCCTCATAACTGTACAACATAAAATGGTACACTTTTTGTTTTATGAATTATCTCTTAATTTTTAAAACATCTAAAACTACTGCATCTGCTATTTAGTTTATTTATCGTCTGTCTTACCTTTCTACAACGTGAGCTCCTTGAGGGCAGGAAGTTTTGTTCTGTTCCTTTCTGTATCCCCCTGGCGCTTTGTGGGCACTCAATAAATATCAGTTGAATTTCATTTCATGTATGTTTTACCACAATAAAAAACTAGTTGAGACACTGCATTTTTGCACTGCAGTATATCCGAACAGTATTCAGAGCCCAACTCATTTCTCTTACTCCTCAACTCTTTCCCCAGGTTGCTTTGCCCACCGGGCTTCTGCATGCTGCTTACCCAGTTCAAATTCCACATTCCAACTGAAGTCTCCTTTCCTTCCACTGAAGCCTTCCCTGCCTCAGGGCAGAGCAGATCCCTCCCTCCATGAGGCTGAAACAGGCGCAAGGACCTGCATGCCATAGTGCATCACCCTGCAATGCAACGTCTCTACCCTCTACACAGCGAAGACCAAGAGCAGGGTGTGTGTCAGGCTCATGGGAACTGCTCGTTCCGTGTCCACCCAGGGTACCTCCTGTCACTCCAGATGCCCTGAGCAGTAAAGGATGCCATCTGGGTATCATCAGGAGGTACCCGCTCACATACCACAGGGAAGGGGAACTGCTTTCGGCTGCACACATCCTCTCCACTACTGTGTCCTGAGCACTGTAGGAGGTCCTGGGGACAGAGATGGGCAGGACCAAGTTCCCACCTCTGAGCAGCTGCAGTCAAAGGCACAGAAATCTATACCTGTCGGAAAGTGTAGTACTACGCTGGAGGCAAGGATGAAGCGCTTCGGAAACACAAAGGGAAGAGTGATCAACTTTGGGAGAGAGGGAAGGAGACCAGGGTTGTGGAGGGAGAAGAAATGATATGAAGCTGGCTTTAATGCACAGCAGAAGCTCACTGGAGCACAGAGGAAGGCAGGGTCCCCAGAAAAGGGAAGAGAACAAAGCCTTTTTAAGAGAGCAGGAGACACAGTCTAGTCTAGAATGGATTATGGAGTGTTCAGGGGGCCAGAGAAGGCTGCCAAGGAAGGTGGACACTGCTCCTCCAGGGTGAGGAATAGGAACTGTGTCTAACAGGCAATTCAAGCTCTTGGGAAGGTTTTTCAGCAAAGGGGTGACAAGAAGAGATCTTTGCTCCAGAGAAACTGCTTCCACAAAGACAAGAGGATGCACTGGTAGTGGAGCTCGGGAAACCAGTCAGAAGCAAGTCAGGAGTCTACTGCGAGAGTCTAGGGAACAGCCGGCAAGGGTGTGGACAAAGCGGGAACAGCGGGGACAGAGCTAAGGACTGCACCACAATTTCCGCCAGGGGGCGCTCCGTCTCTCCGAGCAGCACTCCTGCAGCTCGGGGCGAGGGGCTCGTCCAGGCAGAGCTGCCGCCCAATCAGAAGCCGGGGCAGAGGGCACTGACCCCGGTGTCCCCGCGTGCTCTTCACCACCACCGGGTAGCCCAGCGGCTCGGCTTCATCGATCATCTTCGAAAAGTCTTCATGTCCACCTGCCAAGAAAAGCAAAAGTCAGGGAAGGTGAGGGTGATGGTTGGGGGGCTCTGTGGGAATTCTTTAGAGGCCTCGCGTCTCTCTGATTAAGGCAATTTGAACCCATTCCATCCGACAGACTATGTATTTTGTATCTGTCATCCAAAAGGTGGGGGCAGAGAGATATGGTAAGCGGCATTATCATGGGCTTCTACGTGACAGAGGCTTCACATGCTCCAGTCCATGTCATCATGACAAGCCCATGGGCAGGGCGGGGATTTTTTTTCCCTTATTATGGCTGGGGTAGGCAGATCTCTAAGAAGGCCCCCGAGATTCCTACCTGCTGGTGTAGGTGCCCTGTATGACCCCCCCTCCTAAGTGTAGGAGGGGCCAGTGACTATGCTGGGACAGCATTCCTGTGATCAGGCTAATAATCAGTTGACTCGAATTAATTAAAAGGGAGATATTCTTGGTGGGCCCTGTCCCAATCAGGTGAGCCCTGTAAAAGAAGGTGAAGCAGCAGAGAAACCCTCCTGTTGGCCTTAGGGGAGTGAACTGCCATGGTGGAGGGAAGTCCATGTGACAGGGCCAGGCGGGCCGCCTCTAGGAGCTGACAATGGCCCTAAGTTAACAGGCAGCAGGGAGCGGGGACTCAGTCCTACAGCTATGAGGAACTGAATGCCAACCAGCGAGCCTGGAAGACCCCAGACTTCAGCCTAGTGAGACCTGAGTATAGCACCTGGCTATGCCATAGCTAGACTTCAGACCTTCCGAAACTGGGAGTTGGTAAATGGGTGTTGTCTAAGCTGCTGAGTTTTCAGTAGATTGTTATACAGAGGTAGAAAACCATTATCCAAAGAAACCAAGTCTGGGATTTGTCTCATCCAAGGTTAAGGCATGACTGAATTGGCTCCACTATACACTTTTAAGCCTTCATTTAAAAACTATGAATATTAATATGTATTAAAATCCTTCTAAATTGTTTTATAAGCTTCCTTGATTTCCTACACCTTTGCATCTTTGTTGTTGTTGTTTAGTCGCTAACTTGTGTCTGACTTTTGCGACCCCCTGGACTGTAGCCCACCAGGCTCCTCTGTCCATGGGATTTCCCAGGCAAGAATACTGGAGTGGGTTGGCATTTCCTTCTCCAGGGGATCTTCCCTACCCAGGGATCAAACCCCATGTCTTCTGCATTACAGGCAGATTCTTTACCACTGAGCCACCAGGGAAGCCCTTTTGTATCTTTAAAGGACCATTCTTCTTCCTACCACAGGTGTTACAGTTCATCAATTTTTTTGCAAAGCCAAATACTCTAAAATACTAATAAGACCTGTCACCAAAGTGCTAATGATTTTTAAAAATGTAAAGCAGCATACAGAGGCAATGCAGGTAAACAGGGGCATCATCACAGTGAAAACATTTTATAAGAAGAGAACTCCTAGCTTCCTGATACTCACTGATAAAGGTAACTCCTCCCTAACCGTCCTTTTGTCCTTCCCTAGAATACAATGCAAGGAAGGCCCTTTATTTATTTATTTATGGCTGCATGGTATGTGGAATCTTAGTTCCCCAACCAGGGACTGGACCTGCACCCCTTGCATTGGAAGTATGGAGTCTAAATCACTGGAGTGCCAGGGAAGTCCCAAGAGGGATTTTTCTTATCTGAGGCCATCCCTGCATCTGGGCCATAGACCCCTTTCCCTCTCACCTCCTCAGGGATTTTGCAACATTAAGTGTCCTCCCTCTGCTGTATCTTCAACCTCTCAGTTCAGAATGGCAGCTGCATTTAAAACATGCTCAGTTGTCTCCCATCTTAAACAAACAAAACCCATTCCTTGACCCTGAATCATCCCTTAATTACAACCTTGAAGAAAGTAGGGAAAACCACTAGACCATTCAGGTATGACCTAAATCAAATCCCTTACGATTATACAGTGGAAGTGAGAAACAGATTTAAGGGACTAGATCTGATAGAGAGTGCCCGATGAACTATGGACGGAGGTTCATGACACTGTACAGGAGACAGGGATCAAGACCATCCCCAAGAAAAAGAAATGCAAAAAAGCAAAATGGCTGTCTGAGGAGGCCTTACAAATAGCTGTGAAAAGAAGAGAAGCCAAAAGCAAAGTAGAAAAGGAAAGATATACCCATTTGAATGCAGAGTTCCAAACAACAGCAAGGAGAGATAAGAAAGACTTCCTCAGTGATCAATGCAAAGAAATAGAGGAAAACAACAGAATGGGAAAGACTAGAGATCTCTTCAAGAAAATCAGAGATACCAAGGGACTATTTCACGCAAAGATAGGCTCAATAAAGGACAGAAATGGTATGGACCTAACAGAAGCAGAAGATATTAAGAAGAGGTGGCAAGAATACACAGAACTGTACAAAAAAGATCTTCATGACCCAGATAATCATGATGGTGTGATCACTCACCTAGAGCCAGACATCCTGGAATGTGAAGTCAAGTGGGCCTTAGGAAGTATCACTACGAACAAAGCTAGTGGAGATGATGGAATTCCAGTTGAGCTATTTCAAATCCTAAAAGATGATGCTATGAAAGTGCTGCACTCAATATTTCAGCAAATTTGGAAAACTCAGCAGTGGCCATGAGACTGGAAAAGGTCAGTTTTCATTCCAATCTCTAAGAAAGGCAATGCCAAAGCATGCTCAAACTACAGCACAATTACACTCATCCCACACGCTAGTAAAGTAATGCTCAAAATTCTCCAAGCCAGGCTTCAGCAATACGTGAACCGTGAACTTCCGTATGTTCAAGCTGGTTTTAGAAAAGGTAGAGGAACCAGAGATCAAATTGCCAACATTTGCTGGATCATCAATAAAGCAAAAGAGTTCCAGAAAAACATCTATTTCTGCTTTATTGACTATGCCAAAGCCTTGGACTGTGTGGATCACAATAAACTGGAAAATTCTGAAAGAGATGGAAATACCAAACCACCTGACCTGCCTCGTGAGAAATCTGTCTGCAGGTCAGGAAACAACGGTTAGAAGTGGACATGGAACAACAGACTGGTTCCAAATAGGAAAAGGAGTACGTCAAGGCTGTATATTGCCACCCTGCTTATTTAACTTCTATGCAGGGTACTTCACGAGAAATGCTGAGCTGGATGAAGCAAGAGCTGGAATCAAGATTGCTGGGAGAAATATCAATAACCTCAGATATGCAGATGACACCACTCTTATGGCAGAAAGTGAAGAACTAAAGAGCCTCTTGATGAAAGTGAAGGAGGAGAGTGAAAATGTTGGCTTAAAGCTCAACATTCAGAAAATTTAAGATCATGTCATCTGGTCTCATCACTTCATGGCAAACAGATGGGGAAACAGTGGAAACAGTGAGACTATTTTTTTGGGCTCCAAAATCACTGCAGATGGTGACTGCAGTGAAATTAAAAGATGCTTACTCTTTGGCAGGAAAGTTATGACCAGCCTAGACAGCACATTAAAAAGCAGAGACATTACTTTGCCAACAAAGGTCCATCTAGTCAAGGCTATGGTTTTTCCAGTAGTCATGTATGGATGTGAGAGTTGAACTATAAAGAAAGCTGAGTGCAAAAGAATTGATGCTTTTGAACTGTGGTGCTGGAGAAGACTCTTGAGAGTCTCTTGGACTGCAAGGATATCCAACCAGTCCATCCTAAAGGAGATCAATTCTGAGTGTTCATTGGAAGGACTGATGTTGAAGCTGAAACTCCAATACTTTGGCCACCTGATGTGAAGAGCTGATTCATTTGAAAAGACCCTGATGCTGGGAAAGATTGAAAGCGGGAGGAGAAGGAGACGACAGAGGATGAGATGGTTGGATGGCATCACTGACTCAATGGAGATGAGTTTGAGTAAACTCTGGGAGTTGATGATGAACAGGGAGGCCTAGTGTGCTGCAGTCCATGGGGTCGCAAAGAGTCAGACATGACTGAGTGACTGAACTGAACTGAACTGATCCCTAGGTCAAGCTATCAAAGGGCTTCCATTTCCTCACATCCCAGTCACTCCCTCATCCCTGACAGGTTGGTTTTTCTTTCCATCACTAAAGTGAAGCTGTAGTCATTGAACTCGCTGTGCTACATCCAACATACATCTCTGTGCTTATGTTATGTGTCTTCTTAGAATCAAACACCACTTTTCATTATTCCATTCTTTGTGGTATGTTCTTTTCATTGGCTTCTGTCATCTCTCTTTCTCTTCTCACCTTTTCAGTTGCTCTTACTTGGCTTCTTGCAAAGTTCTTCTTCTTTTTCCTATTCCCTAAAGGAAAACTGATGCTTTTGAACTGTGGTGTTGGAGAAGACTCTTGCGAGTCCCTTGGACTGCAAGGAGATCCAACCAGTCCATCCTGAAGGAGATAAGTCCTGGGTGTTCACTGTAAGGATTGATGCTGAAGCTGAAACTCCAGTACTTTGGCCACCTGATGCTTAGAGTTGACTCATTGGAGAATACCCTGATGCTGGGAGGGATTGGGGGCAGGAGGAGAAGGGGACGACAGAGGATGAGATGGCTGGATGGCATCACCGACTTGAAAGACATGAGTTTGAGTAGACTCTGGGAGTTGGTGATGGACAGGGAGGCCTGGCGTGCTGCGATTCATGGGGTTGCAAAGAGTCGGACGCAACTGAGCGACTGAACTGAACTGAACTGAAAGGATTCTCAAACTCTCTTTTATTAATTATTATTTTATTATGGTAAAATAGACATAACAAAATTTACCATTTAACCATTTCACGCAGCTCAGGCTTCTCTTCATTCTGCATGTTCTCCCTGAGTAATCTCCATTCTTGTGATTTCACTGAACATAATCGAAGTTTCCATATCTACTTCCATAGTCTACATCTTTCTCAGGGGCTCCAGATTCATTTATCTGCTGCCTACTGAATACTTTTACTTGCATATACTATAGACACCTCAAAGAGAATGTGTCCTAAACTCAAATAATCTCTGCCAATAATGCCTTGCCCTACCCACCAGTCTGTTTCTCCTCTTCCCTGGAACACTCATTGAGTGTCTGCTTTCACATCTGGTGGCCCAACCAGAAACCAGAGTCACTCTTGATTCCTCTCCACCCTCCTAACACCCAGTCAATCATCAGGTCCTCATATCTGTCTCCTTCTTAAATCTTGAATCTGTTCACTTCATTCCTACTCTAACCACCTTAGTTTCGACCATCATTGCTCACCTGCATCATTTATAAAGCCTACACTCTATATGGCTTCCCTGATAGCTCAGTTGGTGAAGAATCCGCTTGCATTGCAGGAGACCTCAGTTCGATTCCTGGATCAGGAAGATCCCCTGGAGAAAGGAAAGGCTACCCGCTCCAATATTCTGGCTTGGAGAATTCCATGGACTATATGGGGTTGCAAAGAGTTGGACACAGCTGAACGACTTTCACTTTCACCACTATATATCCTGTCTCTACTTTACCTCTGGTCTAATTCCTTCTCCGCAGTGTAGCCAAAGTGATAGTCTGACCTCTGATCAGGCCATTTCCTTGCTTAAAGCTCTCCAATAACTTCCTGTTAGTCTCAGAATTACCCCAACCTCATTCATATACTGTAGATGGCAACTTCTTATCCTTCTAGCCATGTATCTCCACTCTAGTTCCCTGATGTTCTACAAATTACTCAAAATAACACCAATCGGTCATGTTCTCTCTTGCCTTTAAATCTTTCTATATTCTGCTTTCTTCTTAGATTGCTCCCTTGCCCACCTTGCTTTAGCTCGGTAACTTCAGCTTTATCTCTTTTGGGAAGTCTTCAATATCTTAAACTAAATTAGGAGCTCTCCTATGTAAACCCGTACCATCTTGCACTTACTCTTATCCTGGCACTTACTACACTGCACTGAAATTGCCTGTTTACTTGCTGTCCTCTGCCCCAGATGAACTGGAAACGCCTCGAGAGCAGGACTCTCCTACTTCCTGCGAGAGCAGAGTGCCTAGGGTGGTAGTTGGCACATAGTGTGTCCCAGCTACATAGTTAATGAGCAAATTCCAGAGAAAAAGGAGCAAAGACATTTCAGACAGAGGGAATGACTATGATAAAGACTCAAGGTACTGACTCAACTAAGACGAGCAGATTCACCTTGAAAGCCAACAAGAGCTACTAGAGGGCTTCTGGGGAGAGAGAACATAAGAGATGTGGGCAATTTGGAAAAACAAGTCTCAATTCTACTTTTCGGACACTCACCGTAGGAGAAGGTGTCTGGCATGGGGACCCCATGCCCAGCCAGCTCCTGGAATGTCCAGAATTTGTTGATGCAGTTTAGAATGCTCTGTGGGCGGTTGACTAAGCGGCAGCCCAGCTTCTCCAGGTGTCGCAGGACGGTGATGTCACTGTCCGACTGCACGGAGGGCGTGGGCACGCGGACAAGCACCACGTCTGGGAAAGTGGTGAGCGCCTTCTGGTTCAGCTGCAGGCCTGCAAGCAAAGGGAGAAGTGAGCTGTGTGCTGGCTGTCTAATCCCACCAGAAGCACTGGTTCCAACAGACTCCTCAAGACTGAAGTTAGCGGGAAGAAGAGCCTTGAAAATGGCACTTGAATATCCCGGTGCAATGAGATGCTACTGTCCATCTTATACTCCAAGAAAATGGGCAGAGTATGACACTGAGGAAATACAAAAGAATGAGTGGGGGCGGGGGAGGAAGGCAGCATACCCAGACTAATCCAAGTCAGAAAAATCCACAGGACATAATAGTCCAGCACCTCCTTCCATGGAGAACTATTAATGACATTTGAACATTGAAGTCGCTCAGTCGTGTCCGACTCTTTGCGACCCCACGGACTGTAGCCTACCAGGCTCCTCGTCCATGGAATTTTCCAGGCAAGAGTACTGGAGCGGGTTGCCATTTCCTTCTCCAGGAGAACTATTAATAGTAGTCCCTAAAACATAGAGGCTTAGGAGGCTGGAGACAATAACAGGGAATGAAGTATAAGTCACTTAAGTTAACTTTACTACTCTCATAATTTCATCTTGAAAAGTCATCTGGAATATTATGAATATAATGAATGTAAAAATGTCAATGTTAAGTGAAAAAGAAAAGATATAAAATTATTGATACAAGTTAGAAAAGGTATGTCAACATTTTAACAGTGGGTAATGGGATTATAGATGATTTCCTATATTATAATTATCCATATTTTCCAAAATGTCTCCAACTGTGTATTATCTATATAACAAAAAACTTAAAAAATAATCAATCTACTAAAAGTCAATTCAATATTAAGAAAAACTAGAATGCATCACAAAACAATTAATCTGTATAGCCAAAGGACTTAAACCTGCATGACACTGGATGAACTGGGAGTATTAGCTTGGGATGAAGAGTCAGAGGAACAGGAGTGAAGTCTTCAACTGTCTGTAGGGTTCCATGCAGAAGAATTACTTGGCTTGTCTTCTGTGACCTCAGGAGAAGAAGCTGAGGAGCTATCCATAAAAGCATTATTTTGTCTGTCTGCTCACTGCTATGACCCCAGCCCCTAGTACAGTATCTGGCACGTGGTAGGCATTCCATGTTTGTTTAATTGTATAGAAGCTACATAGAGATAGATTTGGACTCAACAAAAGGGATACTTTTCCGTTGTCTTAGGATGGAATGGGCTGAGGCTCATTAGGTCATTCAAGGATGGCACAGAAGGAATGTCAAGGTTAGATAAGCTCACAGCAACCTGCTTGGTCTCTGATAGCCTATGGTTCGGAGAAGGCAATGGCACCCCACTCCAGTACTCTTGCCTGGAAAATCCCATGGATGGAGGAGCCTGGTGGGCTGTAGTCCATGGGGTCACTAAGAGTGGGACACGACTGAGAGACTTTCATTTTTCACTTTCATGCATTGGAGAAGGAAATGGCAACCCACTGCAGTGTTCTTGCCTGGAGAATCTCAGGGACGGGGGAGCCTGGTGGGCTGCCATCTATGGGGTCGCACAGAGTCGGACACGACTGAAGTGACTTAGCAGGGGCAGAGCAGCAGCCTGTGGTTTGTATTACTCTTAGTAGTTCACTAGGCATCTCCAGTGCACTCAGCATTTGGGGATACAGTGAGAGGGACAAGAAGTGGACCAGCGAGGGCAATGAGACGTGAGTTCAAGGAACAACTTGGTCTGCCCTAATGAACCTTAAAGGAGTCTCTAACAGGCTCCACAGAAAACCTTGTAAACACAGTTTGAGAACCATGTTATAGACTTTAACCTAAAGCACCTTTGATTTCGTAAGTGATAAAAGTGCACAACCATATTAATTTCAAGAAAATAAAAGTTACTAAGGAAGTTACTATTTCTCTACTCAGGGATGAATAATATCAATACAAAAACTCTAAGCAAAACAAAACAACAGCAACCAAACAGAAAAACCCAAACCACAAAACAACTACATGGCTCTAACTTGCACAGTTTCCTCCCATTCTAGATGTTTCACCAATTTAAAGCAAAGAGAGTAAGTGCAGTCATTAAGTTAAATTGTTTTTAGTACTTCTGTTGACAGCGTGAACCCAAAGAACTGGAACGTATTTCTCAGGGATGATGTCTAAAGAGCATTTAGGTTATCTTCACTTTGCCATCAGAAAACAGTATCATTTATATGTGCTTTTTCCTTTGCCACTAATAGCCCCTGGGGAAAATAATCTGAAAGGGGGAAAAAGCAAACCCTGAGTAATATCCTGAAAATTGGTAGGAGAAGAAAGAAAGGTATTCAAGTTGGTGAAAAAGGTGAGTAAATACAGAACAGTCAGGGGAAAAGCAACAGCCCAGAATGACATTACATAATGAGGTAATATATGCAAAAATGCTTTGAGAACTACAAAATGCTATGCATATGCAAGGCACTGGAATTTTTACTGCACAGACATTCTACAGAGCAAGGTAGGACACTTTATGGAGATTTGCACCACCTGATGAGAAAAATGGCTTTCCAACAGAAAAGTGACCTAGAGAGATGAGAAGCAGCAGAAACGTCTGGCTTTTAAATCTCAACACAAGACCACAGACAAACAGTTAAACTTCTAAATGGGAAGAAAAGAATTCAGTCATTTCTGGAAATACCAACCACAAGTGGACAGAGACAGCTCAGCCTCGACAAGCAGATTCACGTACACCTAGGAAGTCTTACCAGGACTTCATCTCTCTTCTCCAAAGGTAAATCTTTGGGCCTGGCTCATTCCAACTGAAGCCTTTAATAAACGAAGAATGGAATGGGTTAACGTGGAGCTGAAAAGGCTCTCGCAAGCAGTTAGACAGATGTGGTCTCTGACTGTGCTGGCCTCCAGCTCTGTGCAGAGAGGAGCATGATGGATTTAGGGAAAACATCAGCACAACAAGTTCTTTCTCTGCCCATTGACCCGACTCTAGCATCCATGCCATGGGGCAACGTCACTTGCCCCCTGATCACTCCCATTTTCTTTGATGTCTGTACCTTGGGCTTCCCATGTGGTACCAGTGGTAAAGAATCTGCCTGTAATGCAGGAGATGTGGGTTTGATCCCTGAGTAGGGAAGATCCCCTGGAGGAGGACATGGCAACTCATTCCAGTATTCTTGCCTGGAGAATCCTGTGCACAGAGGAGCCTGGCAGGCTACAGTCCATAGAGTCATACAGAGTCAGACATGACTGAAGCGACTTAGCACAGCATGTCACGGCACCTTGTCCAAATCAAACATTTCTAGAAGCAGGAGACAAGAGTCTGCAGCTTGTGATGGCATCCGTCAGCAGGAACGGCAGTTCCGCATAGCCACGGCCAAGAACAGCTTGGATTTAAGACTGGTGCTCGGCAAACCTGTCAGTGAATTCTAGAGCCTTTAACCACTTAGTAATCTCTCTCCCTCTCCCCATAAATATCTCCTCTCAGGAAAGGATGGAGCTTAATGTGTCACCTTTCCTGGGATCATTAGCGTTCCCGCTGCAATCTACGGGCCTTAAGCCAAGGGAATGAAGGGCTGATGCAGAACTCAGAGAGGGCAGGCCTCTGCTTTGCTGCCAAGGGATGGACGGAAAGCCCTGAACCATGAGGGGCTCGTTCCCTCAATAACAAGGGATTTCATGTGATTAGGTGCCCAAGCGCTCTTGGGTATCACCTTGACCTGGACGGCAGGGTGAAGGAAAGGAGCTGAGTTGCTTCTGGGATATTTGGGGTCTCTCAGGCTCCTAGACTGGGCTTGAGATTTACTATTTAGCCTTGAACCACTTTTTAAAAAAAAATTAAAATGATCACTCTGTCCCCAAACAGGTCCATAACATTGTGAGAATGATCAGACCCCAAACTAGTCAGTACAATGATGAATAACCAACCTCGCTTAAATCAACTTTTGAAACCACAAAATTTCCTCCATATTACTTCCAAAAAGAATAATATACTTTCATGGGTAATTATGTTCTGATTTCCTTTTGACTCTGTTCTTTATATTTGGAAATATTTTTAATGTATTAAAAACAAGATAGAAAAATGACTAACTTTTCCAAAGAATTGAGCCTGTTTTTCTTTCTAACCTCCATATTAGATTAAATTAATTCTACAAAACTAGACTTTTGCATTTATATGTACAACAGCAGAGAAATGAACATAATAATACAGAGAAATAGCTTTAGAAATAACTCATTACTGGAAAGCAGAGCTCTAAAAATTAAAACCTATTTTCAATCATTCATATAAATACAGGGAAGAGTCAAGGATAATAAAAGGTGGAATGATTCAGATCTGAATTTGCCTAACATTTTGTGTTTAAGGGACTTTGGTAAGAACTTTCATATGTATTATCATATTTAAATTAAAGAAGTTTCGTTAAAAAAAAACAAAACAGAACAGAACAGATGTAGTTGCTGAGAAAGAGTGATGACCTGGGAGTTTGGGGGTAGTAAATGCAAACTATTACATTTAGAATGAATGAACAAGGTCCTACTGTATAGCATAGGGAACTGTATTCAATATCCTGTGGATACTGGGAGTATCCATAGGGAACTATATTCAAAACCATAATGGAAAAGAATACAAAATAGAATGTATATTGTGTATAACTCCATCATTTTGCTGTCCCGCAGCGATTGACAGAACATTGTAAACCAACTATGCTTTAATTAAAAAAAAATGACATCTTGTATATGAATCCCTGTACTGGACTATTAAAAGTCTGCATTTACACAGACCTGATGCCCAGTGCGGAGAAGGCCATGCACCCCACTCCAGTCCTCTTGCCTGGAAAATCCCACGGACGGAGGAGCCTAGTGGGCTGCGGTCCATGGGGTCGCTAAGAGTCGGATACGACTGACAGACTTCACTTTCACTTTTCACTTTCATGCATTGGAGAAGGCAACGGCAACCCACTCCAGTGTTCTTGCCTGGAGAATCCAAGGGAGGGGGGAGCCTGGTGGGCTGCTATCTATGGGGTCGCACAGAGTCGGACACGACTGAAGCGACTTAGCAGCGGCAGCAGCAGA